TCACTCATCAAGCAGAGACTGCTGTGCAAGCCCCATCCAGACAATTCAGTCAGTCTCTGATGTTTACAAAAGGTGAACTCCATGCGCAAGGAAAGCACATACCCTCTTTTTTTATGCATCTACCTCTGATAAATTTTCAGGCTGCTCCTGGGTTCTGTGGGTACATTATCTCTTCCATTGCTTTGTTCTGTGAATACGTCTTCCAATTTCAGTATCATATAATCTTAATTTAGGACTCTGCTAAACCCTCTGTTGAATGAAAACAGTAGAATTAAGACACTAATTTCAGAAATTTGGAATAATTACCTGTTAAAAAAATCCTGTAAGTTCTTTCTCGAGGCTTCTTCTAGGAATATATACTTGTGTGCATAAGGAACAGGTAGCCTCAACAGTCATCAGCAATCAATTCAGGATGCCTGTAGTATTTAGAGAGCAAGTGCAAGCATACTAATTCCATTTTCACCTTTCTGAAGCCAACACTTCTGAGATTTATCCCAAGCTCTAGCTTTTTAAAGATATCAATTGTAAAGGAACTGTTAAAATCCAAATTTCAAAAGGGTTCTCTGTATTTATTCTTTTATTTGTGTATGAAATTGCAGCAATCCTTTCTCTGTTCCCAAGGGTAATTTATGTCATAGGCTACTGCAGTTATAACTAACATAAGAAATTTCAGATGAGAAGGGAGGGAACTAGGTTCATTAAACAGTTCAGGTATGCTCAGTTAAGGCATATATTTGCAAATTAAAAAAAAAAAAACAAACAACAAACCTATTTTAAGTTAAAGAAGGTAAGTATATTTAATGGAAATAGGAACACATAAATAGCTGTCTCAAAATCAGCATCATCTGAAAGAAGTAAATTGATAAATATGCTCTACTTACTGGACCGCAATAACAAAACTGTCAAACAGGCTAGTACCAATAACTGGCCTGGGCCAAAAGGCAAATTATTGCTTTTGGCAGTGGCCTTTTCCAGATGTTTACACATCAGAACAGTGGCTTGATACTTATAAACCTAAGATCCAATTACATTCATTCATAAACTACTGCTCTGGTAGTGAAAGGTAAGGTCAGCATATAGCACCTTGATAGCCTTGGAGCAAGAATAGTAGAGTTGTAATGACAATGCCATAGGTTATTCTGCGCTAGAGCACTTGACTTTGTGGTTGAAGTGGAATCTTTGTACATAAAATAATTCAACTGTTGTTTAGGAAAAAGAAATAGGAAAAAAAAAAAGTGAGTATGACACTGTCTTTTGTGTAGCAGTTTGACAACGCAGCTGTGAGATTTGAGGGCTGGGTTATAATCCTTGAACTCAGAGAAAAACTGGTTTTGCACGAAGTATTAACTGAAGGGAACACGCAGGCAACTCACGGAGCAGGGACAAGCACACCCTCTGGCAACTAAGCATCAACCCAGTAGCCCAGCCCTAAAGGCACCTTTCCCAACTTCGGTCTCTGACAATTCTTCACAATTGTATGAGAACTGTTTGATAATGGATAGACAAGACTAAATATAAGGTAACAAAACTCTCTGAAATATCTGAGATAATACTAAAAATCCTACAATGGACAATCATGGCTTAACTTCCCAATGTGGACTGCTCTAAGTGGTTTAAATCTCCATGGGAAAAAAAATGTTAATTAGTGGGCTGTTATTCTTAAAACATCTAAGAATTTTTTCAGTCTCTCATTTCTTGTGCATACTATTGTCTTCTGCCAAATACATACAAGCTTAATTGAGCATTATACAGAATATGTGGTCTTCCAATTTAATAGATTTACTAGACTTCCACGGTGTAAGAGCCCCTTTCTTTTCATTTATTTGCCAGCTATTATTTTGCATGCCTACACATGTATTATCTTATTCATCATCACTTTCAGTAAAATGGATCTACTTACATTACATTTTCAGATATGGCCTTGTTTTCATCCACCTGTTTCTGAACAGATTTCTATTATTTTCTGAAGACAGGTGTACAATTGAAAGTATTTTTCCAGGAAAGTGCACACCTTCAATTTATATTGCAATGCTATTATCAAACCCATTCTTTATAAACTCAGCAATATTTTTACTTTTCACGGACACTGATTATTAGAAGGACTTTCATTCACATATCCTCTTCAGCCACCTTCAACATCTGTAGCAGTTAACTTAAAACCCAATAACATGGATCAATAGCACACCTTTCTTCCAATGAACTGCACTGCATTCATCAATAATTAATTTCACTTATCACCATAATATCGATTCATCTTTATTTTTTCCCCCTTTGGGTTCTTCTGTTCCTCAGGATTTTCTCCCTTCTTGACTAACCTAGTAACTCTGACAGTGGCAGATTTTACTTATTTACCAATAATGCCTTTTCCAGATCACTTTCAGATTTAGTGACTCAATGAAGTAGATCAAGTAAAAATCTTGAAAGCAGGAAAACCCAAAGTTTTATTTTCAGTTTTTGTTTTAGTATTTTAATCAGGATTTGATTAATGACAACATAATTTCTCAGTTACCTCCCATGAGAGATATTTCAAAACTTACACATTTTAGTAGTCCAAACAACTGTATTAATCAGCTCTTATTTATTTCACATCTTCTCCAAAGAATTTTAGAAGACTGCAATAAAATCTGCTATGGAGTTACTAGTATTGGTATCCTTCATTCTACATTCTATTCTACAACATATTTTACAATTTACTTTTAAATTAATATTTCACTATCACCGTAACCTGTTTACCCAACATTTCTAAGATTATACTATTGCCCTATATTTGCTGTCGTTCTCTACTCCTCACGAACAGTAGTTTATTTAAGAATCACAGAATCACTCAGTTTGCAAGGGGCCCCAAGTGGTCACCCCGTGCAACCTCCTGCTCAGAGCAAAGTCAACACTGAATTCAGACCTGCTTGCCCAAGACTTTGTCCAATTGGATCCTGAAAAACCTCTAAACACAGGACTGTGATAAACCTTCTGGGCAACCTGTCCCAATGCCCAACTGTCCTCATTTCCTTACTTCGAACTGGAAGTTCCAACTTGCGCTGCCTCTCGTTCCTCTGCAGTGCGCCCGAGTAGAAAGACTGGCTCCATCTTTTCAATAATCTACTCTTAGGTATGTAAAGGCTTCCATTAGGTCCTCCTAAGCCCATGGCAGATGACATCCAATTCCCTCCTTTCATCTTCAAATCTAGTTATTTTGTCACAGAGGACAATCCAGTTGGTTAGGCATGATTTATCCTTGGTAGATCCCAAGCTGGTTACCCCCCCGTCACCACCTGCTCCTTCTTATGCCTACACGTGGCTCCCTCCATGATCTTCCCACAGGTGGAAGGAGTGAGGCTGACCAGCCTGCAGTCCTCTGGATTGTCCTTCTTGCCCTTTTTAAAGATGAATGCAAGATTTTCCTTTCATCAGTATTTAGGGATCTCCCCCAATCTCATGGCCTTTCAAAGATGACAGAGAGTAGCTTTGTGAAGACACTGTCAGCTCTCAGCACCCCTGAACGCAGTCCACCTGGGCCCATGGACTCGTCAGGTAAACGACCCCTGCTTCAATCCTTTTCCACAATCTGTAGATCCTCCTCTCCCTGAATTCTGCCTTGTGGCAAAAGGCTTGGGAGACCTGACTGGTGAAGTCTGATGCATAGATGACATTGCATCTCACCTGTATCTGTGTCTTCTGTCACTAAAACACTTGTCCCACTCAGCAGCAGCACCACATTTTCCTTGCGAATCCTTTTCCTGATAAACAGGATCTCTTTCTGTTGACACCACCTGCTAGTTTCAAAACTAGCTTAGCTTTGGCTTTCCTAATACCATCCCCACATGCCTGGGCAATATTTCTATATGCCTCCTTTGCAGCTTGTGTCTCCACTTCCACCTCCTGTACATGTCCGTTTTGCACTGGAGCTCTGTCATGAGTTCTCTGCTTAATCAAGCCCTTTTCCTGTTACATCTGCCTTACCTTTCTACAAAATGTTTTTGTTCTAATTTAGTTGCATTGCTACAAAAATCAATTTTATAAAAAACATTTGTTCAAGTAAATGAGATAAACATACCTATGCAATTGAGATTTGCTAATCTTTGCCACCATCAAGGTTCAATATTCTGCAAAAATGGACCTGAAGATGCTACTTAAACAGATGTCACTGCTCATTGCTTTAAGTCACTGGTAAATTTACTATACCTCTGCTATTGTTTTTACCTTTCTCTATACAATGCCTACCAAAATTTATCAGATTTACGAATTTCCTAGATATCATCCTCCCAGTGATTTCTCAGTGGAAAAACCACAAACTTTAATTAAAACTGAATTTCTGAATTAGTTACACCAAAGCCACGACTTGCTGCAAATTTCTTCCTGGCATTTCTTTTAAGAACGAAGGAAAGGCCTGTCATCTGAAAGTCTTCATCATCACAGTTAAAGATCACTGTCATCACAGTTTAAGACCTCCCTACCCCGTACTGCAGAAACATCGCCTCCATTTGCTCGGTCTGTTTCTTCCCACCCGCTGTCCCCGCTCTGGGGGCCGGCGCCGCCTTCGCTCCGGAGCCGGTCCCGGCCACACCGGCGAAGCCGAACCTCCGCGTTTCACCGCGGCGCCGAGCCCCGAGCCCGCCGCCGCCTCAGCCGAGTGCCGGGACCCCACGCCTCCCGCCCGAGGGCGGGCCTGGGCAGCTCGGCACGGACCAGGGCCCGGGGCGGGGGCTACGGGAACCCCCCGCCGGACACGCTGCCCCAAAGCACAGCAGTGAGACAGGCTCCCGCCCCGGCACCCTCCCGCGCCCGTTACCACCAAAGGCACCCGCCGCGCTCTCACCGGAGAGGAGAAGGAGGCGGGCGGGGGGAGAAATGCAGCCACCGCCCAGAACCAGGTCCGCCGCCGCACCGCTCCCCCCGCGCAACCGGGGCCCGTAGACGGCGGTTCCGGGCGCGCGCAGGAAGGGGCGGAGCCGGGGCGGGAGCGGCCGGGCCGGGTGGGGGTAAGAGGCGGTTGGAGCGGTGCGCGCGCGCGGGGAACGCGTCCGTTACCGAGGTGCGGCGGCGGGCAGGGGCCGGTCCCCATCCCCGTCCCCGGGGGCGAGGGCGGCGGCGGGTCTCGGCGCAGCCCGGGGGAAGCCCCCGTTTTCTGCTTCCGCCTCCGCCTGGGCTCCCTGAGCGGCCGCGTGTGCCCTTTTTGCCGTTAGTTCGCCCTTTCGTGAGGGAGGGCTGGCTGGAGGCCTCTTGTTGAGGCGTTTGTCGGTGAAGACCGGTTGATGGCGGGAAAGACGCTTGTAGTCTTCGTGTCGTTCGTCTGGTATTGGGCGACTTAAGCTAAGCTTTTCGGGAAAAAAAAAAAAAAAGTGAAAAAAAAAAAAAAGGCAAATAAAAGATTTTCGTGTTGGCTGCCAGGTCCGATTTTTCAGGGCCGACAAGCTGCTGAGAGAAGCTTGGAGTGGAGGTTTTATAGACTAGGTCTGCAAAGGAATTTTAACTTTGGTATTTTTTTTCTGCAATAGCCGAGTTTTAGTGTGCTGTCTTTTTAACGTTTGGCTCCTGTTTTTCTTAGCCTGTGTCTTAATTTCCTGAAGCACTGGTAACTTTTACTTTATTGATACACCTGTCTGAAATTCTAGTGTGAAGCTCTTAATGAAAAGCTTATATACTTCTCTTTGGATTCACTTGAGGATGCAATAGTGGCCCTAAACACACAGCAAATTCAGCGTCTGGATAGAAATATAACTCTAACCTCCAAAGTTATCCGCCTTAAAGCACAAATATTACTTTGTATTAAGTTAAATATTTGCTGGTGAAAAACTGTGTTTTTAAATTACTTATTGTGTTGACCATTTCTCAAATGTTGACGTGTCTGTTTACCAAAAGTTCTGTTTTACCATGTAGTAACCAACAAATAAATGACATTTTTCAGGAACTAAAAGGAAGAGGAAGTTTATGTACGTTATTTTTATTTTTTTAATTTTCCTGGGAAACATTTGTTTTTAAACCAGCTGTTTTCTTAATTATGTTGTGAACTGTTATTTAGTGGATGTTGAAAGGGAAGAAGAAACGGTAACAAACAGTAAAGTTAGTGAAAATTATACTTACTTAATGTTTATTATTTTTAAATAGCCAAGATGATTTTTATACCAAAGGTAGACAACATTATTTATATTGTCATCAAGTTACATTGTAAATCCTGTAATGTTCATTGCTTTTCTCTTTCCCACTTTCACCAGTGGCTACTGTAAATACGGCCAGTATAGAATAAAAAAAAAAAAAAATCTGTTCCCACAGAATTTGCAGTCTAAATAGAGGGAAAAAAGTGCGAGGAAAAATATTGTGAGTGAATAGTGTAATGTCTTGTAGGTTTTATTAGTTCTGTGTTCCATTTTTTCTTTTATTGTGTATGTCTGTGGCTGCTTTTGTCTTAGTAAGCTGCCAAGCGATCCATAAATTTATCACATTTAATGGAGAGGTAGTGGTTACTTAAAATACTTAAAGTGAGAACAGGCAACCAGGTAAGCTATTAAGTCTTTCAGGGGAAAGGCTGCGCATAAAGGCACAAGGAAGATGTACTCTGCAGAGCCAAAATAGTGCAGAAATTGACTATGTTATAAAGTCTTGTTTCCTGTATTTTTTGTTTCTAAGTGTCTCTGCTTAGAGACGAGATATTAGGAAGAAATCTCTGAAGCAAAAGATGGGAGAGGGATGGGGTATGGCAGTGTAAGAGCGTACAATTCAGTTGAAGTGATGCTGCAAGAAGATACTGTCACAGGAAAAATTCAGGAAACAGAGGTAAAGTCATAGACAGTACTGAACAGATTTATTGTTGTTTCTTTTCTGTGAGAGACTTCGTAATAAAATTAGCCTGATTGTAGTTTTACATTGTAAAAACCCTTCATTTTAGTTGAATGAGGAAAGAAAAAAATCTCTTTGAATGGTTACCCTGTAATTCAAGTTATGTGCCCTCTGAATGTAGCAGGTGGCTTTACATCAGTCACTGTCTGTTTGAGGCTGAAAAAGAAAATCTAGATAAACTTTAGAGGTAGTCACTGATTTTTTTTTTTTTTTTTTTTTTTGTGGTAAAGAGGTTTTTGATGTCTAGGAGAGTAAGAGAAAGATAAACCTGCTGGATTAGTCTAAATCTAACTTCAAATTTGAATAAAAAAAATTCTTAAGTTACCAAGGTAGGCATGCTATTTGGCAGTTGCACAGTCTGTATGAAGTTTCTGTATGAGTTCAGAAATTACACTTTCCATGCAAGTACTTTATGAAAAATGAAGGTGGAGAACTTTTAGCAGTGCTTTCTGAAGTTGGTAGAGAGAGACACCTGCATTTAGAGGTCAGAAAATAGGAGAAGGTGTTCTACAATAGATTTTCTCAGCAATTGAGATCAGGCCACTGTTTTTCTTCTTGTTGTGGTAAGAAGTTCTAAATAGGTTAAAATTTCTTCTGTGTTTACACATGCATTATGAACTCTGTAGTTGCAATGAAACTGAATCTCTTAGTACTTTATTCAGAATGCCGTTTGGCTGTTCAACTTACATATCTATGAGCAAAATTAACTTAATTGTTATGTTTTAGCATTCTGAAATCTCTGATGTGGAACAAATAGATTAAAAAAAGCAAAATCCCCTTAAACTTTTGACTGTTTTAAAGGAGGACAGAAAGAGAAGTCCTTTGCTCCCTGAGAATCTTGTATATTAAGAAATAACTTAGAAACAATTTATAGCCAGTCTAGTTGCAAAAAATAACTTCCAAGTATAAACCAGAATAATGGCCTTCATTCTTTTAGAGTTCTGAAAAGCGTGTTATACTGCTGAGCTCTTAAGGGTGTTCACTTGGCAGCTGATTTTTAAGATGAGCACTGTTAATTGCCTAACTGTTGATCACTAACAGAAATGTCAGCTAATAAGCTTATCTGCTCTTGTTTGAGGATGGTACCTTCATCTTAATAATTTCTATTTTCAACCGGGTGAAATAAATAGAAGAGTGAAGTGTGAGTATTGGAAGGAGAGGGAGGAGCAAACCTGAGCAAATTGACAAGTGAATCTTAACCTTCATTAAATCAACAGTTAAGAGTCTTAAAAATACTTAGTTTGATATTTGAGCCTGAATTACCATGATTTTAAAGATATCTAATTTAATGTGTCTGTTTGGCTTCCTTGGAATTTAGATGCAAGTTCTTTGGCAACTGTAAAGGACCTGTGTCCCTGGACCACCACGCTGGGCACGGCAGAGGAGAGAAATAGCTGGAGGATGCAAACTGGAGCTTAAAGTGCAACATTTCTTTTGTTTTCCTGCTGAGTGAAGCACATTTTTTCATCCTTTGAAGGTTAGCTGCAGAAACAGAAAAGTATTACTGTCCTAAATGGACCCTAATTAAGAATAGAATTTATTCTACTCCACACAGTAAGTTTAATAACTCAGATCTAAATTGACCATATCAGTAGCAGAACAGGGAGTATGGTTCTGGGAAACCAATTTCTGTGTTGTAGCACTGCAAATTTGAGAAGAGAAAGGGACTTTGATGAGAAAAATAGTATATGAGAAGAATTTAGGACTGTATTTGAAAATAATGGGACTGTATATTGCAAAGGCACCTTCAGGTCAGGTACCGTGAGTACTTGCAGGATCAGGGCCTTTAGTTAAGAGAGATCTGGTTGCCTGCATGAACTGAATGATGGATTGCTCTCATATAAACTATGAAATGATAGATTGGGTTTTCAGGGTCTGGAAATCATTTGTGTGTGTAAGTACCTATTCTCAGATTTAAGACCCAATCTTGTGAAATGTGCAATGTTCTTAACTCTCCCTGAAAACCAAAGAGATGAGGCATTTGTATTTTTGTGATGAGAGCTGGAGTTACCTCTTCCTCGGGAGTTTGTTCTGCTGTTAAGGGCAAGATATTAGTTGCCTGCACTTTTTTCAGAAATTAGCGATTTACAGTTTGTTTTTATTTGGTTCAGAATTACTGACTGGAATGATTAATTGTATTGATACTGTCACTGTCTATGTGATTCCTTGAAAAGGAAATTATCATAATACGGACTATCACTTTAGTATTTGGAGTTTCCCTTACTCCTCCCGTGTGGGGAGAGTCTAGTTAAGTGAAACAGCTGCCTTAGCTTGACCTTTCTCCTCCCTCTTCACCTTGATATGGGTATCCCTCTCTAAAAATTTTTTACGGGTACTTTTAAAAATCTGAGTAGCTAGTGAATGTCTTATGAATGAATGGTATTTAAAATTCTTTGCTTTTTGGGATAAATGCATTTTCAGCATGTACACAAAACCTAGCTAAAGGAGAATCTAGCTATTGGAGTGCTTATTAAAAATAACTGCCTATCCAACTAGAAGATGCAGAAATAGCTTTTGTATAGATCAGAAAATTCAACAGCAGATATTGCAACTTCACCAAGAGCCCTAACTTCCTTGTCAATGAGCAATGAAAGCCCTGTTTTTATTTTGGGGTTAATATAGCTACCTGTATGTCATACTGAGCACTATGTAGACCTTTGTAGACCTGTTCACTGATTATTTGTGCTTTGTGGAGTTGAATTGTACAATTCTGTGGAGAGTTACTGGAGAACTTTTTTGTCTTTTTGGGCGCATGGGTAGATAATTACAGGCAGGTACTGGAGGAGTGCTAGCCACTAAGTACAGTAATTTGTGTTGTACTGGATAGTCTTAATTAAGAACCCGTCTTATAGCTTATTTAAGCTTATTTTAAGCATTGCCAAGCCTGTGTGATGTGGCTTTACCTGAGGAAGGAGAATAAAAGAAAGAACCAAATTGAAGCCTGAACTTACTCTCTGGAGAAGGTATAACAAGTCATGGGACTAGAGGGTACTGTGCTGTTTCTGTGTGGGATACTAAAACCTGTTGACACTCTATAGGTCTGAGCCACTGTTAAAACAAGTAATTTCCTGGGCTCCCTGTCACCTGCAGTTGCTTGTTTCTACCATGTACTTTTCACAGGCACTTTGGCAGCTGCATGCTGAATGACATTAATTTACTGCTCCGGCTGAGGGGGAAGGAAAGTCTTGGCCCTTCCTTTCTCCCCTCCCCAGAATAATTTGTTCTCTATCAGTTCTGCAAACTTCTGATTTTACAGCATGAGCGCAGTGCTGCTGTGTAAGTAGGTCATGAATGTCACTGTTTGTGTGTTCTTTCAGTCTTTGTAGAAGTTTATTTTGGTTCAGAAAAATATTTCAGTCTTTCTGTCATAGTTCACCATGCTGCAGCTGAGTAGTGGTAAATTACAGTGTATGTTTACAAAACATTACTTTGAGCTTTAAAGAAGTTAGTTACTACCCTCAAGCTGTTTGACCCAGCTGTCTCCGAGAGGTTCCCTCTTGAAGGCATTTAGAAGAACAGACCTTTCCTGAGTGTACCTTTGCTTCAGTGCAAAATTCAGAGCCTTACCTAAAAAGGTTGAGAGAAGTGACATTAAGATACTGTGGACTAAATGAAGTGGGTTGCATGCATGTTCCCATTTTCTAACCCTGTCAAGAGAATGGAGTAGCTCTGGACAACATCTGCATTTCCTGCTTCAGCAAGATCCTGGTATTGGTTTATATGGTTTGTGTGACTTCTGTGTGTGATAGTTGTATACCTGCTGAGAAAAGTAGTTGAATTTGACCAGACAAATTTCAGACTTCAAGGAGACAGGTGGATTAACACCAGTAACCAAAAGTCATTATTTCCAATCAATTACTGTCTCTGGGACTGACTAGCGGCTACTATCTATTACTCATTGCTACTCGGTAGAAGTAATTTTGTTCAACAGATTGAAGGAGAATTCACACTGGATGGTGTTCACCCTGTCATCTACCAGTTTTCATAGCAGGACATTTTTGTCATTTTAATCAGTAGACTGATTAATTAGTACCTCTGTGCATCTTTCAAGTATTTTTAAAAAATTTTTAGTCTAATGATGTATTATCCTCTGTGGTGAACAGTGCTTCAGAGCTGCTACTCTGGGTGAAAATGGGCAAGGGCCAGTGTGTACCTATTGAGAGTACTTGTGTGGTGAAAAGGTTAATGTCTTACTTGGGCAGTCCTGAGTGATGGATTTGGAATAATTTATAAGAACAGGTGATTAACAGGTGGAAAGTACAGAATAATATACTTCAGAAATAGAAACATCTTCAGAATTTACCAAAATATTTAGCAGTTCTATGCAACATTATAATGACCAGAAAATCCAATTATGTCCAGTAAGGTCAACCAGAAGAAAAAGTTTAGTGGTGAAGTGATTTGTAAGGTGAATGTGTATGTCTGAGTGGCTAGAGTGACCAGGAAAGGATGGGGTTGGATGCTCTATGGGTTCCCATGGAAAATAAAAACAACCCAAATGCGTAGGAGAGGACTGTTTAATATTGAAAGTAGTACTATAGTTGAAGATATGAGTTTAAATGCTAGTAACTGTGGATTTAGCAGGTAAGACTAACGCTTCTTGACTAATCTCCTCAACAGTACCTTCACCATATAATTTCTTCCACAGAGCTGTACTTATAATATTGAATCTGTCTCAATTTATATGCTGTCAAGATTTATCCAAATAAAATAGCTATTATAAAAGTAGGTATTTCATTATGTGTTGTACTATTCCTTACGTGGCAGGTTTATTAATTAAAGAAAAGCAACAGTACTATTATGCTGATCCACTGTTGTTCTGAGACAAAGTTATGTAATGGTTTAAAAATACTTCCCTGTAACAATCATTATTATGATCTTTACTTAATGTCAGGTGGACTTGATTTTATTCTTCCACTGCCTTGTTTTGGACAATTGATTTGGCTTAGTGATAGATGATATAAAATAGTAGATTTGATGTACACATCTACATGAAAAAAAAAATCTATATGAAATAAAAATCTTTTTGACTTTTCAAAGAATTACTTCATATTCATGTAGCTATACAAAGACCTTATTAATCTAGACAGTTATTTGAAAGACTGATGCTGTTCCAATGTTGACTGTGCTTTTTATATATATGTATATAAAAGCATATGCTGGCCTTTCCTAGCAACATTCAAGTATCTTTTATTATAATAAAACTTTCTTTTATAATTATTGTTTTAAGAGTGCCATCTAGTGTCTAAAGCTTTTCAATATGAGTTGTGATTTATAAGTTAATGGGAAATTTTATTGAGTGATGGAGCAGAAAAATTATTGCATCAGTGTTTTATATTAAACTGGTATGGAATAGTTTAATAGGAAAAATGTAATTTTCAAGTATAAGGAAAATTAATTTAAGTTTTTAATATACTGGGAAGACATTAATTTCAGCTGTTACTGGTGTATTTAACTGCTTTAAAGTAGTTGTGTGTTTGAGGTGTTCATGTAGCATTCTTGAAGATTGTTTTTGTTTTTTTTTTTTTCTTAATGTGTGCTCTTGACCTTCAGTTAGTATCTTACCAGGCTCTAGACTAATTTTTAATACAAACCCCAGTATTATTTCCCATGACCTGAATACCCTAAATTAAAAAAAAATTAAAATTTAAATAAAAAAAAAATACACATATAATTTCAGTTATTTGTATTTGGAGAGACAGTGTGAAACCATTATTTTATCTCAAAAAGAGCCTGCAGTCCACTTATTTAGGCAGGATGTCTTTAATAGTGTCTTATGTTAAAATCAGTTTTAGCAGATAGTGGAAGGACCACTATTTCAGGGCCTTTTTTTTGTTCTAAATTCTGTATTCTTTTATGAATGATGTGCTCTGATTTCTATTTCAGGAACTTCAGCTTAAAAGGAAGATGAAAGATAGTGTCACTGAAGAACATTTATATTTGGGTTTTTCTCATAAGTGCAGAGATAGTATCTTTCCTCTTCATACATCCATTTCACTGTTTTTGCTATCCTACTGTGACTGCAAATTATTCAAAATTTTCTTAGTGCCGACTGGTGAAGATGTGGATGATCAGTTTGTGACAAAAAACCTTCTTGGCGATCTTGAAGTCCATTTAATCTCCAGATGCCAGCTTCCAATGGTTGTGCAGAGCTGCTCTTTACCTGCTGTTGTCGTGAAAGATGGCAAGTTCTGCCGAGCTGGGCTTTCTGTTGTTTTAAGGCATATAGTACAGAAAACATACGAGGCAGATCCATCTAAAAAGGATGTTTTGGAACTCTTAGGCTTTAAGAAGACCTGCTTAAAAGCCTGTGCTGAAGTGAGTGTGCATGTATTCCTCTTAGATGCGTTAGTAAGTTTTTTTTATAATCATTAAATACTCTGAAGTAGACTCTTAATATTGATGTAGACTAAGTTCTCTTAGGAACTTAGAATGTGAAATTTTCTCATTGCAGAAATATCTGTATTATGGCATAAACATGAAAAATAATTCTTTTTAAAGCTACTATTTTTTAGCAGCACAAAGAGAAACTTAACATTCAAAAAACAGGTCAGATCTTTGTTTCATGTCTAGCAATGTAATTTTAATGAGTTATAAAGCACACCTCTTCTAGCTCGAAGTAATCTAAGAAATACCTAATTTATTGTTAATTTCGATTTTTTTTTTTAAGGTGCGGTTCAGTTAAACTAAAGTTTTTTGATGTTGCATGGTAAAACCATTAAAAACATAAGTCATTTCTCTAAAATAAATGTGTTAAAAATCTGTTTGGTGTAATCTCTTTTTATTACCAGCACTTGGTAGAGATGACATATATAAATTGATCATGGCTTTGGTTCTCATGAGTTATGCAGTCACCCTAATCTTATGCCAATAATAAGGAATAAAAATATGTTGTACTAGGTAACTGTTCATTCTGTTACATATAAGATTTAGCTTCCTAATTCTGCTATTACAAAAGAAATACAGAACAACTGAGCTTCTAAGATTATCAAAGAATGTATTTGAAGGTGGAATTTCTTTGCTTAAAGTGGACAAAAAGATGCCATGGATTTTGTTTCTCCTTCTGTATAGATGTTAATTACATACATTTATCTGACAGGTTAGCCAGTGGACCAGACTTTGTGAGATAAGCATACCTCTGGCTGTTGAAGGATTTTTGACAGCGTCTCCTGAGCACTGTCAGGCTATTCCTCCTGATATTTTACAGCTTGAAAGGAAGCTTGGAGAACCTGTCCGAGTACATAATGATGACAAAATTCGAAGGCAAAAACTTCAACGGCAGAAGTCAGGCGCCAAGGCTGCAGTGCCTGTACTTGGTAAAAACACAACAGAGGAAGGAAAACCAGTGGAAGTGCATGAACATTCACTCCCAGGTTTGGAACTGAGCATAGCTTTCTCCAAGCTACTTGTCCAAGAAGTATCAGATACAGTCAACAGGGAAGCCCCTCACATCAGAAGAACAAAAACCTCTGACCTTCCGCTTTTGGACCATGTTTTTGCAGAAGGACTTTACTTTACCTTGACAGATATAGTGCTTTTGCCATGCATCCATCAGTTCTTGGTAAGACAACAGATTCTGCAAATATTAAGTAAAGTATATGTATTTTTTTTTTTTTTTTAAGAACTGGGAAGTTGTAAAATGTTTGAATTTAAAATATATTGTGGTGTTTGAAATGTGAACTTAACCTGAAACAGAAGATTTGTCTTTGTTTTAGTACAAACAAAAACCAGGGATTGGTGATATCACCAAAATTACTTTTAAATACATAGCATATCAATACTTAGTAAACACTGTTAACTATTAAAATATTATGCTGAAATATTTTGGCACCAAGTTGCTCAGAAAATTCCTCCATGAAAATACTCAAAATGGACACTTAAAGTACATTCTAATATATATAAAGCAAAAGTAAGGAAGCATGAACCTGTTTTCTTGCTTGAATTTAGTGTACTAGATTTATGACCATGCCTCTATGGATATTTGCTAAAATGAGACCATTTTATATGTGAGGAAGTTTTTGAGATTTGGAATTTTGATTTCATCATAAATTGCAAATTTTAAAAGGAGGGAGGGTTGAGAACAGTGTAACAATTTTAAAATACTGGAAGGGATGTCCCCGTGAGAGTTTTAAAATGGACACTTAAAGTACATTGTAATATGCATAGGAAAAAAGTAGTTAAGCATGAACCTATTTTAATTTTGGTTTCAGTGTATGGGGGAGGGGGGGGAATGAATTCCCTACCCAGTTTATTGTACTTTTACTACATGGATATTAATCATAATTGGAATTCTTTTAGTTACAGACTTGAAACTATTTGTGACTTTACCTTGACATGGGCAGATATGCCTAAAAGAAAATGAATGCCTTCTAAGAAAGCAGGAATGCCTTTTAGGGAGACAGTGAATGGAGAGAAATTCAGGGACTATAGTGGCTTTTTAGCCATACTAAAACTGAAGAGGTACTCAGATATTGACTAGGGAAGGACTTCCAAAAGCTCATTTGTTTATGCTACTGGTACATGTAATTTCTTGAGATTCTCTTTGAGAATTATTTCTTTTTAAAATATGGTGTGCTATGACTTCTGATTTGCTTAGAATAGGTTTGTTTTCTCATGATAGGTTAATTATTCTTAATCTCTGCTGTTGTTTTCTTTTAGTTCCTAGGAATGACTTCTTTGTTTGGGAAGAAACATTCTTGTGTAGCCAACCCAGTTTTTTATCAAGTCCTTCCACAAAATAAGCCAGTTTCATTGCACATCTGTAGATAAAGATGGGTGCCTAGGACAGCATAATACCTACATATCAGCAAACCTTTTATTCTTCTATGCAGTTTTGTTTTTACAAAAGTTAGTCTGTATTCCATGTCAAGCAAGGACTGATCACTGTGACCCTGCTCAGAAATGAGATGTTGTGTCTAGGGAGCCAGCTTCTTTGGGATGTGCTTTAGTCCCTGAAACTTTCAGTATTCTGTAGTTTTGTCATTTGTAGTATTGTTCCTACTAAACTGTTTTGCACAGTTTGTGGAAGGTCCTTTGTTTCCTGCAGTGAAAGGAGAAGTTCCTTGGAAAAGGTTACACTGATAGAAGCTCTTGGAATAAAATTTATAACTGAAAAGTTCCGATTCTCCTTGCAGTCCTATGAGATTGGCTGCTTTTTTTTTTTTTTTTTTTTTCCCCTAATAGAATCTTGTGTTACCTGTATGGGCCAATAACATACTGATAGAAAATGCACACTTTCCTTTAGGGGAGTTGATTGTTTTCATATCAGATTGTGGAAGTATTTTGGATATGGCAAGGATGCTTTTGTCTTCTCCTTTGCAGTCAACCTAGCATGCTCCCAGTACTGGACAAATGCCAGTGGGCTGGTTTCAGTTGTCTCTGTTCTTGTCCTTTTCCTTCATTCACGTCAAGAGGTTTTTGCAGCACAATGAGGAAAACCAGTGTATACTAGAAAAGTAGTAGGGATGCTGTATATAGTGGGTATATGCAAAATTTCATTCTGAGTGTAGGACTGGTTTGTATCCTGTGATGTGTTCAGAGATCTCATACGGTCTTCCAGTGTGTGAAAGGAGGAACTTGAAACCTTCAAAGAGTTTAACCGAGATGAAATAGGAAAAGCACTGACACAGCTGGCAGTCAGGGCACCGTGTGGAATGTGGAAAACTGCAGAATAAATCTTTGCTTCCTGACATCGAATGTGATTATAGAAACAGTGTCCCAAGTGGCAAAGCTGATTTCACAAGTTCCTGCACTCCAGGAGGCAGTTTGACAGGCTATTGGTTGTGTCAACTTGACTGCAATTTGAATCAGTAAAAGACTGATGTCTCTGTACCTTTAGATCAGTGATCTGTTAAAAACTCATTTCACTTATCTTTTAGGGGAGAACATTAGTCACTTGGTTATTGAATCTTTTGCGGTGGATCTCTTACTTTGTACAAATTTATCTGGGCCTGAGAAGGAGATTCCATGTGTGTGTGTATTGGTTGCTTTTTTGTAGCTGTTAGCTAGTAAGTGTCAGTGTCTTGCAGATTCTGTTATACAAATACCTTAACATTGGGATTAGGAAAATATACCAAAATATGTTTCGAGCCTAATAAAGCCATGCAGTTTGATTTCTATTTACTTTTTTTCTAACCCTTGTGGCCCGATTTTTCTCTCAACACTTTTCTCATCTCTGGAAAGAGGTAGGGCTTAGTAGTGCAAGTGATGAGCTCAGCTTCAAAAGCAGTTTCACAGTGGGAAAAACTTCTGTGGCATGACCGTGTGAAAGTCTTGCTCAGCACAATCTGTGTACTTAGTTTTATAAGGATGTCTACATGGAAAAGAATTAAGGAAATAACTGTGTCTTTATTTCCCATGACAATAAAAAGATATGAGTTTGCCTACTACCAGTATTCCTGCAGTTGCTCTATGAGACTGATAGCTAAGCTGGTGTCTGTTGCCAGGAAGAGCTCTGAGTGAAGTTGGTTTGCGCATTTTGATTTTGCAAGTTGTTTTGCCAAATTTGCCTTATGGTGTTTGAAAACAAATGAAATTCCTGGAGAGGATGCTGTCAGTCAGATTCAGAGAAATGATCTCAAATCAGAATAATTACTAGCAAACATTAATATGTCATAAATGTCCTATTTATGACTTCCTTAACCAAGGTCATCATCCTCAGTGGATTTCTGTATGATAATAGCAATATGGGAGTCCAGAATTCGGTTAATATGGCTACCTTTGAATTAAGATGATGAGTTATTTTACAGAAATATTTATTAATTCGTCCCTGCTTTGTTTTGCAAATCACATAATTGAGGATTAACATCAACTTCTATCTGGATGTTGTTAAACAAAGCTACTAATTCAAAATACTTTCCTACTATTTCAAAGACTGTAATGTATTTCAGTCTTCTTTAATTTTCCAAGGCCTTTTTAAATAAGTGCATAACTTATTACAGTAATGTTTGATTTACTGGTGCTAGGCATGAGAAGATTCTTGGATCAGATACTTAATTGATCTCAGCAATCCTATTGAAATTGTTCTGTAGATGTACTGTGAGCAGCTGAGAATGTGTTTATTTGCTTTTCATGTGTCACCCTCGAACCTTGGTGCTCTGCAGCTTATGAACTATATATTGTATAATATATTTGTGTTAGCTTGCACCAAGGGTTGTCCTAAAAAACAAGCTTCAGTTTCATTTTTACCTAAATTAGAAGAGTTCTGGGATAATGTTGCTTTATTTCTGTTCTCTGGTGAATGATTGTTTCCTAAGCAATTATACCTTGATTCCTACATTTATCATCAAAATTAAATAACTTGCATCTGAAAGCTTCTTGCAGGCAATGGGTTGAAACAGCACTGGTTGGTGGAAGTGCCAGAGTTTAATTCTGTATTTAAAATGTTATTTATCACTTATATAACTGGACTTCCTGGACTGTGTTTAAAAAAAAACATTATAGTTGCACTTCTAATTTGCTTTAAGGGTGTGAATAATTATGAAGTCTTCAAAGGGAATGTGTCTGGAAAATATCATACAATACATTTGAGGAGACATGACTAGCTGATTGTAATTATAATTACCAAAAGTAAGATAATGAAGCTGAAGAGTTGTTTTTCATTACCTCATTCCATTTCTGTTATCTTTCTGAGGTTAGCTTTGTTACACTTTCTATTAGTTGTAACTGTTTAAAATTAATAGAAGAATAACAAAAGCTCTGTTCTCCATCTGGGATAAACCACTATTCACTTTTTAAAATACAATTTAGAACACTTGTTATCAAGTGTAACAGTGCCTCATAGAATTGCTTTCCAAAAGGCTTCTTCCTTAACTGAATTAATGTATTTCTGCCTGTGTTACCATTAGGATACTGAATTAGATACTAAAATTACACAGTTCATCCTCCTTTTGCTCCTTTAGCTATTACTAATTACTTGTGATTACCTTAAGAACATTATAAACAGAGCATGCAAGAAAGCTGCTTGAAGTTTTGTGTCATTTCAAGTGTTCTTTACCAATTTCTATTTCCACAATGAGGACAGAGGTGTGGAGAAGCACTGTTTTTGCATGGCCTTTTCTGCCTTTTCATGGAATCATGATTTTTATTTTTCTGCTTAAAGCAGGCACAGCATCACAGAATAGTTGAGGTTGGAAGGCACCTCTGGAGATCATATTGTCTAACCCCACTGCTCAAAGCAGAACCAGTTGCCCAGGGTCATGTCCAGTCAGGTTTTGAGTGTCTCTAGAGATGGAGACTTCACAATTTCTCCTGTGAGAAGATGATCTTCATTGTTCTAAAACATTTGAGAAACTGAACAAAAATTACTTAAATTCACCAAATGCATCCTTTTTAAAATTAACTGGTCTTCATGTAAAACTGTGATCTGGCTATCTTTTTTTGATAATATGTACATCATATTCTTAAGAATTTATTTTTTTCTCTTTTTTACGCTTCAAGATTCTAATTTCTGTTGAAGGCCACTTCATCTCACCATCATATATGCTTAATTCAGAAAAGAAAGATACTAGTTACCGTTTTGTATAAAAATATGAATTAAGATGGTAAAAAAGTTTGAGTAAATATATGATTTTAATAAAAAAGTTTTGGATTCAGTGTTGGTAAAAAAAAAGTTACAGATGTAGTACAAAGACTTCCATAAAGACCAGGGACAATGTATGCCTGTACCTGTTTTGCTGTTACCATGTAGTCAGAGCTATTTCAGGCTTGCATTTGCCAGCAAAACAGCTAGTGGTGGATGAGGTTTTAAGGGCTACAGGGTTGCTGCTGGGAAAGAAGAAAATTCAGGCACCATAATGTCTTGCTTAGCATTCACTATTCATTGCAAATTACTGTTTTGGGTTTTTTTGTGATTACCAACCAAAATGAATCATTCCCTTGTTATGAAAGAGCAGATAACTAATATTATTTAAATTGCTTTTTCCTGTTACTGACTGAAATTATGATTAAAATTGGTCATGTGGACCTTTTCATCCTATTGAAAATCCTATATCAGCAAATGGCAATTGCAGATAAAATCTGAATGGCAACTGGCAATTCCACCTGCAGGCCTGACCTCTTAACCAGCTAGCTTTTTGCATTACCATCATGCTATGAGTAAGCATGCTCAACATGGAGCTGAGCTCACTTCTGTATTTCATGCCTTTTTGTGGCTTTTAGGAAGAAATTTACAGTAACAACTAACCTTTCCATTTTCTTTTTCTAGGTTTCCAGCAAAAAACAAGGCAAAAATTTGGTAAATTTGCCTCTCATATCCAGTTGGTATCGAAGAGTTCAAGAAGTACCTGGAGTAAAGAAAGCTGCTGGCAAATGCAATATGGCATTTCTCCAGCTTCCAGAGTTGATGTCTGCTCCAGCGGAACAGCTACAAGACTTCTCTTCAGTTCCTGATGAATTAAAAGAGGAGAATGAAGACACTCATTTTATAGGTGGCCCAAGGCCAACTATGACTAAGTTAATGGTAATTTAGGCTTTTAATGAGTTATTTTTAATAGTAATATTCTGCTTGATTTTGAATAGGTGAAATTTATTAGAATTGCAGAAGTGAAGTCTGACAACCTCGAACAATATAATACCTTTTGCCTGTCTTCTGTGTGATATGCGTCGACTAAGAAGTGATTTTACTTTTTTGTTGTTATGATATTTGATCGATTCAGGAATTGAGCAAAGATAGGACTGCTGGAAGCCCTATCAATAAATCTGAATAATCAAAATAACTTTTTGTTTGAATTGCAATATTGTATTCTTCTTTTAAAGATATTGATATAAAGACGACAAAACCCATTACTTTTATGATTGGCTTCATTATTCTGTTGCTTCTGTTGTTTTTGCTATTTGATTAGAGCTTTGAACATCTGGGAACGCTAATGAGATTTGTTAAAGAAAACTCTCCATTATGTTCCATAACTCAATATTTTTTGTGTAGCTGCTGACATTTCCTAAAGAAAATTGACAAGGCTTTATTGTGACAATGAGAGAAATAAATAATTTGAATCTCATGTAATGCCTGTTTAGTTTTAGTTAGGCTGGAAGTGTTGCACATTTTGATCTGATGCCGTTAAATTCAGTGGGAATTTTGCTACTGTCTTCAGTGGGTAAAGGAGTATGGTCTTAATTCTTTTTCCCCCTTTCACATAGGAAAATGGTATTGAAGCAAAGTTTTCTCCTCATCCATGCCCCAGCTGGACCCTAGACTGGACCAGTCTACCATCTGCAGTCAATCCTGGAGAAGGTAAGGGATTTTATGTGTGTATGTGATGTATTTAAGTCTCATGTTCTGGTGAAGCTACTTAACTGTTTCATATGCATTAGCAAAGTTTGGTAGCTACATATGAGTGAGTCTTCCCTTTTGTGCCAGTGTTCCCTGCCCTGTGGGGGTTGCTTGCTTTCATGGATTGCAGGGCAGTCTGCTGCCTGGTGGTTACAGTTCTACAGAGAAAAAACTGATTTATTACAATGTCTGTTGTTTTTGTCGGTGTTATGAATATTGAATACCTCTTCCACCACACAGTAGAACTTAATCTAAAAGGTCTCATACATACTTCCAGACAGTAAGAAGTTAGTGGGTGGTAGCTCCTTTCTACGGGGAAGAAAAAGGGTTGTGTCAATAAAATAACTGATACTGGAATCAGTTTAGCCTCAATGGCATAGAACTTCTGATTTAAAGAATACAGAAATATATATGCAATGTATAGATGCTCTTCAATGACCAATATGTGAAATTCGTCACAGAATATGTTAGGAATCACTGAAGAGCTATAGGCAATTTAAAAAAAAAGCAACACTTTTTTTTTTTTTTCTTTTAAAATATCTAATTGTGTGAATACAAGCATGTATTCCCATCTACAATATACAGGCTATAAAAATAAGATCAAATTTGAAGTTGTTTTTTTCTGGTAAGCAAAATAAAGCAAAACTCAGGTTTGTACCTGTCAACATTACATCATGCTGCTTCAGACTTTATGTGGATATACTTCTTATGTTAAAATAGCTCCATAGTCTGACTGCTGAAATGCTCAGAATTTTGTGTGTGTTGAATTTCTATGACAAGTTCCAATATTTTGCAGGAAGCAAATAAATATTTTTGCTTATTTCAAATGCTCAGGGTTTTGGCTGTAAGTTTTAGTTAACACTTGTGTCAAGATATCTATATGCTTTTATTTGAAAGAAATTTTGAAAAAGATCCATAACATACAAAAAACATATAATGAATGTATATTTGGAGATTTTGTGCTGGAAGGAGTCTCCTGGACTCAGTTTGAGCGGGGGGGAAAAAAAACCAGCTCCTTCTGCTTCCTGTCTGTGTGCATGCTCACTCTCTTTTTTCATGTTTCCTGAAATAGTTACTAATGATGTTGATATCTGAAATCGGTTTTCAGTTCAATTTTTGGCAAGATTTGCCAGCTCCAAAAGGTGCTATGAGAGAGAGATTTCACCTCCCTCCAGCCAAGATCACAGTGGTTCTGATGCCATTTTCTGATCTAGGGAAACTCCAAAAGATTGTGGTTTTAGTCCAGGAGCAACAGAGTCACAAAGGACCAAAAAAAATTTCCTGATATGAGAATTGGTTTTGCTTTTCAGTTAGATCTATCTGCATGCTTACCTCTGCTGTTCTAAGTTGTGCTGTTGTCTGTTTTCCAGTTATTTTGCTGGTACAGCCTAATCATTGTTATGTGAATTGAATTCTCAATATTTTACTGCTAAATCCTATTTGACACTCTGAGAGAATAGTCATTGAATCTGACAGGGTTTTACACTGGATGAGTAATGCAATTCAAGCTTTCAAATATATGACCCATATAACTGGCAAATAAATTTCTTCTTACTAAGGTTCATAGCAGTTGGGACAATATAGAGAATGTTTCAGTTAAAACTCACTTTGTTTTTTATTCATTGTAAATTTAATTTGCTGGCACATCTTAATAGCATACGTGATATACTTTCTTTGTTCTATCTCAGTTTAGATTACTCAGAATTTGTGTTATATGTATGTGGAAGTTCTGGGATTGTATTGTTCAGTCTGTCTGTAAGTCTAATTAGACCACCTTGCTGTCACACCTATTTACTACAGAAGAGAATTACTGATGATTGCATTTCTAATGTATTATTTGGATTATACATTTAAGTTCATTCAGTTTTTTAATAGGGTTTATTTACTGTTGCAAAACTAAAGATTATGACATCATGATTTGCATTTCATTTGCTTAGTTGTATTTCTGAAGTAGAATGAGATAGATAGACTATTTCAGTTGGAAGGGACCTACAACAATCACCTAGTCCAACTGCCTGACCAATTCAGGGCTGACCAAGTTGAAGTTTGCTGTTAAAGGCATTGTCCAAATGCCTCATAGACACTGACAGACTGGGGTATCAACCACCTCCCCAAGAAGCCCGTTCCAGTGTGTGACCACCCTCTCAGTAAAGAAATGCTTCCTAATATCCAGTCTAAACATTCCGTGATGCAGCTTTGAGACATTCCCATGCAAAAACTTCTGTTAGTTCTAGTCCTGATGCAATTTTTAAAAGGTATTTGGTTGACCAAAGTGCAGTCATGTTTACATTTTAGATATCCTCCAGCTTTTAAAATTTATGCCTTTGTCAACTACTTCTAAAATATTTGACTTCTTGAGTTGTGTGTATTGGCCTTCAGACATGTGTGAATCTATAAGCCTTTGAGAGCATCTGGACTGTATTTGAAACATTGTAAAATATCCCAAAATATTGTGTCTAAGTGCCCTCTGTAACTGTTGTTATTCTAGGATATTATAGTTGTTGAGTAGTTGTTACAAACTTTCACTTTTGGAAGGAATTTAGCACAAAATATTTAATTTATTTTAAAATGTATTGTAAATGTTGATTTCTGTTCTAGTTTACTGTATAAAAACTTGGCCAGTACTTTATTTTTTCTAAGGTGGTTTTCCAAATCTATGTTTAGAACAGAAATATGTTGATACTGTCTATTAAATACAGAAGCCAAAACCTCTCAGCACTTCAGTTGTTTCATCCAAGTCATATAGTGTATAAAGACTTACCTGCAAGCACACAAACTTAGTCTGTCTGGCTAAATGCATCTCTTGATATTGAAAACTTAATTTGTGCAAAATCTCAAAAGAAACTGTAGTATTTCTAAGTTACATCGGAGGTAAATATTGGAAACGTGTATGCCAATAAAATATTTAATGAAATTCTTATTTGCAATAAGAACTTCAGTTGGGAGAGGTCCTCGCCCAGAGGTCCTAACCAAGCTTGGTGCTTGGTTATGTTGACCTTTTCCGGAGAAGTAAAGATAGGTAAGGTTGTAAATACAAGCAGGCAGTAAAGGAAGAGGGTGGCAGGTCAGAATATAAAAGTGTAGGTGGTTACAATGTGAGACTGAAGGAGAATGAGATACTTGAATCAGCAGTACAGGGGAATAATCACATGATGTATGTCAGCATAGAAAATATTGCATTTTTTTTTTTCCTGACAAGGTGGTGGCTAAAATTTTGGGAAGAGGGGCTTCTTGAAATAAGAATGCTGAATAGAAATAGTGTGCTACTGCTGATTAGATGTGCAATCTGAGAAAGAGGGAGCTATATTTAATTAGATTTGTGACCAACAAAGAAACAGGGCATCTTTTCTGTGGTTTCACAGTTCATAATAGGCAGGAGTAGAAAGGATTTTTTTTTTATCCTTTTTGGAACTTCAGTCAACCCTGGAGTCTTTGCTTCTGTTTCTGTTCCTCTGTGTGTGTGTGAAACAGTTCCTTGTCTTTAGGTTAATTTCCTATTAGCTGCAACGGCTTTGTGGCTATCAAGATCAGTTTGACTGGTTATGATGAGAGGTGCTTCCTTCAGGCTCACCCAAAGCACATTTAGGAGAGGGAGAGTCACTGCTTTATTATTCTGATGATGTATGGAGGTGTAAGTCTTTGGTGCTGTCATTTTTTTCATCAAGCATTGTGTTCACTGTGAAACAAAAAAAGAAAGAAAGGTTGTATTTTTTAACAGGAATCTATTTTTTTTTCTTTAAAACAACTTTTTATTTAAACGTTTTTACCCAACTGTGAAATTTGAGAATGAGAAATAACTGACCCACAATCTCACAAACCTTTATCTCTTTTCTCATGAGTTAAAATACTTGTTAAGCAGGAAGTACTTAAGTGCTTAATTTGTGGTATCTCATTCTGAAATTACCAGCTAGACTGGCAGACTGTGCATGTGATGGTATTTACTTACAAAGGTAGTGGTTAGCTGTGAACAGATTTCTACTGTTCTTTCCAAAGTGTGAAGCTGTTCACAGAATAAACATAGCAAGTAGTATGCTATATTCTGAAGGCTTGGGAATAATGCCCTCTTCATAAAAATATTTGTTCTTAAATGAAGGAATTGTTGTGAGTCAGAAAAGAGCTCCTTGGCTGAAATACAACCTACTGTCAGGTGAATGCAGAAACACCACTGTAATAAAAACTAGGAGTACATGCAAGCAGGAGATAGAGGGTTCAATTACAAAATCTGTGAAGAGTTTGAGGTGGAGGGAGTTAGTTTTGAAAACGTAGGCAAATAAATAAATCTAGATGAAAATAAATGAATGCAGCTTGCTCTTACCAATTAATGGTAGACATGTAGCCCTTTAACTTTGTAGTTGGCCGTATTTTCGTAAACAACTCCATTTTAATGGATTGTGTATAAACATGAGTCACAATGAAGCACATCAAGTATTTTATATGCTTTGTTATTCTTAGTGTTGATTTGGACTAGTGTTTGACTTGAGGTGAAATTTTCCATGTATGAGTTTTAAAAAGCCAATATGGAAAAAGAAAAGGCCTTTCACATCATCTGTGTCCAGCACACAGGTGTAGGAAAGGGTGTTAATCCATTCAAGGCAGTGCACACCTACCTAGCTGAAGACAGAATGACTCTGATCAAGTTTGTTAGATTTATGCTTGCTTTGTGATCAGTTGCAAGGTGATGGCCAAATTAAACAACTATATAAAACTGTCACAGAAAGATTAGCCTGAATAAGACTATACACTGATTGATACTTGCCCCTTGTTTGCATTCAAGTCTTCAGACTTTTGAGAAAGTTGCTAGATTTTTAGAATGCTTAGCTTTTAAAATGAGACAAAATTTGGAAAGCCCAACATCTGTTGTTCAGGGATATGGTTGTTGAGAAGAGATTTGTTACCTTGATTTATGAGCCACAGAATAATTAATAAAATACTGTAAATGTGTGGGTTTTTTTTTTGGGGGG